CGACCAGTGCTACTGCCGGCGAGGCTACCAGCTGAGCGACGTGGACGGGGTCACCTGCGAAGGTGAGGGCACCCTGCCCGCTGTGCGGCGCCCGCAGTGTGCAGGGACCTTCACTTGCACAGTGCCGGTGCTTCACGGGCAGCCGTTACTGCGCTTGCCATTCTCACTAAGGCGTGTTCTAGGTCACAGCTGTTGGGTTTTCATTGCCACAGAAAGAGAGGACCCCCCTTGGAGCGTGCCACACCCCACTCCCTTTCCCTGCTTCTCCATCCCATTAGGACTTGGGGTCCATATGCACATGTGCACAGCGTGTCCCTCAAACCACTGGGGCCAGGCTTTGAAGTGCATTGGGCCACGTGGGATCTGGAGCCCGTGCGTAGCTGAACTACTGCACTCGGGGCTGGCCTTGCGTTGTTTTCAGTTATCTCTCCCGTGAGCTGGAGGTGGGGGAAGAAGCACCCCCAACAGGGTCCCGGCGCTGTGACCCCTGCCTCCAGCCTGCCCTGGATCATGGCCATGTGCGAGCCCGGAGCGCTCAGAGAGGCCTCCGGCTGCAAACACGGAACCTGCCCTCGTGGGTCAGCCTCACAGAGGGTGGCACTTCCTGCTGCCACTATTTGGCCCCAGAGGTGTTTTGTGAGCGAATTGCCCTCCCTTCTGCCCCAGGCACTTGCTCTCTGACCCTGGGCTGGTCCCAGCCCTCTCTGGTCTCATGCTCTGAGGCCTCCTGTGTCCAGCTTGCCCTGTGTGCTGCCCTCCCAGGCCCCAGGGGGTAGGAGCCTGGCCGGTGGTCGTGCCCTGGGCCAGGACGCAGGTGCTGAGGGGAGGTGGCCTGGCCAGTGGCCGTGCCCCGGGCCAGGACGTGGGTGCTGAGGGGAGGTGGCCTGGCCAGTGGCCATGCTCCAATCCAGGACGTGGGTGCTTTGCCGTTGCAGATATCGACGAGTGTGCCCTGCCCACCGGGGGCCACATCTGCTCCTACCGCTGCATCAATGTCCCCGGGAGCTTCCAGTGCAGCTGCCCTTCATCTGGCTACAGGCTGGCCCCCAATGGACGCAACTGTCAAGGTGAGCATGGCAGGCCCTGGGCCGCTCGCCTGTGCTCGGGATCTGCAGTGTTGGTGCTGAGACCAGGCAGCAGAGGATGAGCTCCCACAGCCCAGAGGCCACACCACACGCGGGTGTCTTCAGGGAAAGGGGCCTGCGCATCCACCGTGTGTCCTGGGGGCCACGGGTACCTGGGTCTCCCTCACCCAGACCCAGCACACCAATCCTGGCTGGTCTGAGCCCACCGAGGCTTAGTGGCTGGGAGTATCGGAGCCCCCCAGGCTGACCTCGGCAGCCCTGAGAAGGCCAGGACAGGGCTGGCTGCCATCAGCACGAGGCCTGCCCAGGAGGCAATGGGAAGTCTGTGCCCAGGAAACCCCGCCCTTCGTTTGGTCACCCGACACCCCTACAGTGGCCCGGCCTCCGTGGCAGCAGAGAGCAGAGGGCACAAGCTCTATTGGGGGAGCCTCCCCATCTGGGCAAGGCCTGGCGGGCTCTAGGGCGGGGGGGTCTAGCTGGGGCTGGAGTCTGCTCCATGGGAGCCCAGAGATGGGCCAGGGGCTTCCACCTGTGTTCAGCTCCCATTTCCTTTTTTCTTTTATTTCATTTTTAATCTTTTTTTTTGGGAGAGGTTTTTGCTATAGGGTGCGTGTGCTCTCCAGAAAGACAGAGACCGAGAGACAGAAAGCGAGAAATCACCCCCAGGGGGGGATGGCCACTCCGCAATTCCTTCTCCTTCATTCTCCTCTCGGGATCTTGGGCACGTATGCACATGTGCCAGGTGTGAATTTAAGCCACCGGGTCCGGGACTCGAATTGCTGTCGACTACATGGGAGTCCAGCAACATAGCCATTACACCATCTGCTGGTGCCCATTTTTAATCTTTATGGGAGAGAAACAGGGAAGGAAAGACAGAAGTTTTTTGGTTTTGTTTCTATTTTTAGAGATTTTTGCCACAGGGCATGTGTACTTGGGGAGAGAGAGAAAGACAGTGAGAGGGAAAGTGAGAAATCACCCCCGGGGGGGATTGGCCACTGTGCAATCCCTTCTCCTCCATGCTTCTCTTGGGGTCTTGGGCACACTTGTACATGGGCCCAGCATGAGTTGCAAGCCACTAGGTCCAGCACTCGAACTGCAGTCGGTCATGGGGAGTGCAGCAATGTAACCACTCTGCCATCTGCTGGCCCTTAGAAAGGTATTTTTGACAGGCTTTTGCCATGTTGTGGGTCTTCTTTCCCAGCCTCCTGGTTAGCTTGGGGCACAGGAGCACACACCCACGCCTGGCACATTCTGGTTGGCCCAAGACCTGAACCAAGGCCCCCCATGCGTTTCCAACTTCCCACACAGTGGGACGCCCTCTGTGCCGCCTGGCCGGGCCCTGGCCTCCATTTCTGAGACCCCTGGGGGTTGTCTGTGTCCTGGAACCACCCCTCTGATCATTGAGAGGGGTGACGAGTAGCTTTTGTGAACAAACGTTCAAGGGGCATGCATGTTGGCCTCCCCTCAGGGAACAGGCCTGAGGCTGGGTCACAGGAGCAGCGTCTGCCCTTCCACCTGAGCCCCCCACAGGCTGTGCCTCCACTGGCTATGGAGGCCCTCGGTTCTGCAGACGTCATTTCTGGTCATGAAGGGGGTGGCTTGGGTCGAAGGCAGCCTTGGCTGTGGCAGTTCCCACTCGGCTCGCCCGAGCCCCACATGGAAGCGCTTTGCTGGGCGTTTCTGCCGGAGCAGATGACTTTTCTGTCCTGGCCAGGCGCCCTCACCGCAGCCCCGGGTCCTGCCCAGACACAGACACATCTGAGCCGGCTCCGAGATGGGGAGAGCTGTTTTGCTACCAAGGATCAAGGGTTTGGCGCCTGGTTTTTGTTTGTTTGTTAAGACAGAGAGCATGTGCACACACACAAGCCAGAGGGAGAGCGAGAGGCCCCGACAGGGTCTCGTCAGGCTAGGCCCCCCCCAGCCCTGTGACTCCACAGGGCTCTGGGTGCCATCTGAGCCTCGCCATGTTCTTAGGCCAGCCCGGAGATCTGCACCATGGTCGGCCAGGTGGCTTCCAGCCTTGCCGGCACTTTTGTGATCACTGGGCCACAGAGGCTGGTCCTTGGACAGGTGCCTCCCAGTTGTGGCCACGTCCCCTGAACCCTGTCATTTGGCAGTGTCTGAGTGTGTGGGAAGGGGACCCTCACCCCATCCCAGGGCCTCTCGTCATAGCTCTGTAGGGTCCACAACAGAAGCCCCCGCCCTGGCTCTGGTTTAGCTGGATAGTCACCCACCCTGGTGACCCAGGACATGGGCTTGGCATGCGGTCCCTCTAGCCTGGCATCCTCGCAATGATTTGGGGTCTTGGCTTCTGCTTCTTCCCCCCAGGAGAAGGTAGGGACATGTATAGAGAGCTGCAGAGACCGGGCGGGGAATGCAAGGACTCCTGCCAGCCTGCCCGGGCTCAGGGTGGCTCCGCCACTTACAGAATCCGTGAGTGCGGGCAGGTCCCTTCAGCTCTGTGAGGAAACTTGCCTCCTGGAGTCCTAGGAGGGCCCAGTGAGTGTCTGCCTCCATCTTCTCTTAGCGTCTCCCACCTGGGTGTGCTTACGTAAGGGCGGGTCCTGCCCCTGTGTAAACTCAGGCAGAAGACAGAAGAGCCGGTGGACCCCTCGTGGGGACCCTGGATGCCTCTATCTGTGGGTGGGGATGGCTCCTGCGGCCTCGCCTTCACGGTGGTGCCTCTGTGTTTCCTGCAGACGTTGACGAGTGTGTAACTGGCATCCACAACTGCTCCATCAACGAGACCTGCTTCAATATCCAAGGTGGCTTCCGCTGCCTGGCCTTCGAGTGCCCGGAGAACTACCGCCGCTCCGCAGACACGTAAGTCCCTGGGCCCGCTGCCCTCCGTCCGCGTCGGCCTCCCTGGTGGCCTGGTTCTGGGCCTGGTGAGCAGTTAAGGAGCTGTGGCCTCCATGCCCCTCTCGGGGGACTCCGGAAAACTCCTGTGAGGCGTCTCAGAAAGCCATGGGAATGGTCGGGGTCTCGTCAATGCTTAAGCCAGGCCTGTGTTTGGAGCCAGGCAGAACCACAGCCTTGCTGTTGGCTGGTGTGCCCTGGGCCAGCTCTGGGCCCCGTCTCCCCACCCCCCATAGCACGCAGGTGCAGAACACGCTCGCTCAGTGAGCGGGCAGCGCTCCCTCCCTGTCAGCCAGGTGCACGGGGCTGAGGGCTTTGGGCACACTGCTGTTGCCACCCGCCTGCTCTCCGGACGCGGGAGGCCTGTGGCTGCGTAGGAGCTGCATGTCGGAACCCTGGGGCTGCGTAGCCGTGTGCCTGTTAAGGCTACTCACTCCCAGGCCACCAGGGTGTCTGTTGGGGTGTCCAGGGAGCCTCTTCATCAGGGAGGCACAGACTTCTGGGCCACGGTTCTTGCTCAGACCTCACTTAGCCCTGGTTATGGAGTGAGTCTCATTCGTCCTGCCGGCTGTTTCAGAGTGTGGCTTCCCAGGCAGGCTCATGGCTGGGCTGCCTATCCCAGCCTCGGGCCCATGACCTTGAGCCTGCCTTGGTCTCAGCGGGTGGTCCCTCTCTTCCGAGGATCAGACTCTTGCACAGACGAGGCAGTAGGTCCTAGGGGTCACCACATGGCCTTGTGTTGGCCGAGTGGCCCTGTGTGTTTTTTTCTAGCACTGGGGCTGCCCATTCACTGGTCGCTTCCCTACCTGCCAAGTCCCCAGCGTATTTTCATTGACTTGAAAGCCCAGCACTTTGCACCCTTCCCACGCCTGCGGTACGGAGAGCCAGCCCAGGTCAGGGCTTACAACCCCCAGCGTCTTAGCGAGCTTGTGGGGGACATGGTCGCGGGCCGTGATGAAGGCCCTTGGTTTGGTGCTGTGCAGCCACTTGTCGCAGGGAGCCTGCTGTCCCCCAGGCCTTTGTCGGTGTCTGAGTTTGGGGATTCTACAAGACTAGCTGGGGCATGACTTCAGTCCTAATTCACACACAACCAGAACCAGAGGGGGAGCTGCCCTGTGCGGACCTGGACGCCTCCTGGCCCAAGGGTGGATGAGTGGGCTTTGAGCCCCAGGGCTGTGGCTGGACTGGGCAGGCTGATGTCAGGGCACCTCCATGCAGGCCAGCCATGCAGACCTGGGCAGACAGCGAGCCTGGGTCTGCCTGGGTGATGTGGAATAAGCCCAGTTAGGCAGACAGGCGGGAGGCGGGCCTGTCTGATGGAAAGGGGTATTAGGAAGAGACCCGGGCCCTTTGTTTCCACTCAGTGAGGGGGTCCCATGGCAGGGTTTCTCTCACCCCTGGGGCTGATAAAGAGGGGACTCTCACTGCCCACAAGAGAGGGCTGGAAGTGAGTCTCACCCACTGTAAAGACTCTCAGCTGCTCGGCTCCAGCACCCCAGCACCCCCACACCCCTGGGGCCTGCATGGGGCTGGGTCCTGGCCTGCACAGAGCCACCTGAGTTTCCAGGACTCTGAGCTCCTGGGTGCTGGGCACCTGAAAAGACCATGGCTTTAGAGTCTGCCCCGGGGTTCCTCCCGGATCAGCTACCTCCAGGCCACCTGACCTTGGGCAGCTTCCTGAGTGGCTGGGGGCTTCCATGTCTCGAGGTGAATCGGGGTGATGCCTCCCTCCTGGTCTCCCCTGGCTGACCTGTGACTGGGGGCACAGCATCTCTACTTGCTCTCAGAGAGCTCTTGCTGGGGTGTGGTGGGCACCCCGAGACATGCCGCCCCTGCAGGCTCTGGATGGAGAGAGGGAGGTGGTGTCCAGGCCTGAAAGGCCGTGCAGAGGGAGGACCAGGACTGGGACGTGGCATGGTCAGACTCCCTGTCCTGGCCCTGCCACATGCTGTGTGGCCTGGACTTCCCTCTGGGCCACCCAGGGGCCCTTTCTGCTTCTCTGATGTGTCTGAGAATCCCTGCTGGGCAGGCATGGCCTTGGGGATCCGAGGCGATGAGCAGAGTGTGCCCGGCCTTGTGGTGCAGTCAGTGCCTGTGTAGATGCGGGCACAAGGAGGGTTGGCCACCTGTTCCTCAGGCACCGAGTCGGAGACAAGGGCGCCTCCAGTAACTGCCGCTTTGGTTCTCTGTAGCAGTCTCTATGTGACTCGGGTCGAGCCGAGGCCAGAGACGGGCTCACTGGGGGGGCAGGGCACGTGGCTATGGGGCTATGGCTCTCCTTCACTGACTCACCAAGGAGGCCTGGCCCAGCAGGAGCCTAGTGTGGGGTGTGGGACGTGGGGGCTGGCCTGGAATCTGCATTGGAGGGGCTGCAGGGCTTTGTCCTGGCTGCCTGCTCCTGTCTGGGAGCACCGTGAGCTGTGGTGTGAGCTGTGGTGACCAGTCGTCCACAGAGCAGACTCATCAAAGTTGGAGGGACACGGGCCAGTGAGTGGCCCACAAGGCACGGGGGGACTAACCCTCAGCCTTGAGTTTTCTATCCTGCAGCTCCTCTTCCTCCTCATCAAAACCCAGTCCTCTTAAAGAACTTATCTGACCTCCAAAGCAATTTGTAAATCTAGAAAGAGCCATATTTAGAAAGGACCAGGGCCAGTGCTCCGCGCCCAACACTCGCAAGGACAGGCGCGGTTTAGTCTCTGTGTTTCTCTGTCTCTGTCTCTTCCTCTCCCCACACACATGGCCTCTGGGTGGTGGGGGTCGATTGCGGGTCACTGGAGCATGGCCTGGCACGCTGGGCCACAGACCACAGGGCTGGCCTCGTGGCTCGCCCAGGCAGGCTGTGGAGGCCCCTGCGACCGTGGGAGGAAGCGCTCAGAGCTGACCCAGGACTTTCAGAGGCTCTGGAAACATGGTCTCTCCCCTCAGGGGCTGACACCTGCTGTTGTGGTCTTGAAAGTCGGAGGGAAGTTAGGTGGCCTTGGGTCCATTCTGGAAAGGGGTGCAGGTGAACAGTGTGGTCCGAGGGTGGAGCCTCCAATGGCCCCTGCTCCGCCAGTCTGAATGATGAACATCTGAGATCCGGGAGATCCCAGAGACCCAGGGATGTGCCTGGGCGCCAGAAAGGGCTGGGTGCTGGGAGCCTTTTTCTGTGGAAGGCGGTGCTTTGTGATCATTCTTATAGAACTTGGGGTGTCGTGATCAAATGGGTTGGACTGAAAAATTGGGACACATTGTTCTCTGACATGCAGTGTGATGAGGGGACACGTCTGTGGAAAGCAGGGCCTGGGTCCCTGAGCATGGTCTTCCTTACCAGCTGGGGCTGGGCGGGTGCTGTGGAGGACTCAGTGATGTTGCCTGTCCCTGACTGGACACACCGCTAGCGAGGGCTGCAGTGTGGCCCCAGCCTTTGTGACTCTGGCATGCTCCAGTGTGTCTGGGCAGAGAAGGTAGGATCATTGAAGTCGGGCCTGACCAGGAAAGGGGCAGCCATCCTGGGTGAGCATGGCTGGGGCCACCGAGCCGGGGCTATGTCTAGGCGCCTACTCAGAGACCCTCGTGTGAGGGAGGTTAGGGTGCTCTGGGGAGGGGTCAGGGTGTGGAGCCACTGGTGAGGACGGAGTCCAGCCCTTGGAGGGTGACAGCCAGGGAGCTGGACTAGAACGTCAAGCACGGCTCCCATTCCCGCCGTCCACACGGGCCCTGTGAGCACTTCCATCTGGCCAACCAAACAGGGTTCGTTCCCAGTCCCAGCCGTGGGAGAAGTGGCAGTCTCACACGGGGACTCCAGCGCCACCTGCCGACCAGGCTCAGCCAGGCCGTGCTTGTAGCAGCTGTGTGTGTGTGTGTGGGTTTATATGCGCATGGGTGTGTAAAGGCTTTGCAGTGAGACCGGCTGACTTATTTTTCTATGCAAAGCCTGCGTCAGGACGTTCCCGACGACCCATAGAAACCCAGTCCGGCCAGTGACCGCAGACTGGGTTAAGAGCAGGTCGTGCGTCCTCCCGCCCTCTATCTCCGTCGGTTTGCAGGACAGTGTGAGGAACTGAGCGAGTTGGTGGGAGAGGAGGCCCTGAGGGATGCTGCCCGGCCCCGGGGGAGCAGCTGGGCCTCAGCTCCTCGCCTCCCGTTCTCCACGCCCTCCACAGTCCCAGCCCTCAGATGCCCCGTCTCTGGTAGAAACCTCTCGGCACACGGAGCACTCCTGGTTGGTCTGGCCCTGGGGGTCTCAGAGGTGGCTGCCGCTTAGCAGCCCCTCAGCAGCCCCTGCCCACCTTCCTTCCTGCTGCCTCTGGGCGCCGCCTGAACAGGACCCCCGTCCGTGTCCCCAAGCCTCACTTTCCTGGGACCTCCTCCCAGGGCTGCCCTTTCTAAGGGCTCAGAGTTGTGAATGGCCACGCAACGAAAGACTTCCTTCCAGCCCTGCTAGACAGCTGGAAATAGGTGGGAAACGACTCCTCACCGAGGAGGCTGGGGACAGTAAGCCCAAGTAAGCCAGCCCTGCACAGCGAAGTGGAAAGAGCCGAAGGGAGCCACTAGCTGGAGCAGGGCAGGGGATGCCCAGGCTGGGGACTCAGATGGGGCAAGGTGGGACTTCCTAAGACATCCTTGGCCTGGTCTCTGGGGCTGTGCCTCCTCCTGCAGCTGCTTTCAGAGTGTGACCCGCCTGGAGTTCAGGACGCAGAAGCTGGTCCCTGTCCCCAAACTCTCCCTGTGCTGTCACAGCAAGATAATACCCACCTACATCCTGTCATAGGAGGTTGGCACCTGTCCCCCTCTCCGTCATGGGAAGTTAGGATCTGTCTCATCTCCCTCCCTGGGAAGTTTCCACCTGCCCCGACCCTGCCCTGCCGCTGCTCCCCCACCGGAAATTAGCGCCTACACTGGCTCCCTCACCAGAAGTTAGCACCTGTCCTCCCCTTCCCCACAGGGTTACCAGCTGCCCTGCTTCCCCACAGGAAACTAGT